CCCCAAAACCCCAAAACCCCAAAACCCCAAAACCCCAATGATAAAACCTAGCTTGATTTAAATATATAAAAATTAGGCAAGTTTAAACACCATGATGGAAAACTTTGATGAAAACGTAGATGAGCAGTATGAGAAAGTTAGTTATATCCCAGATGAAGTAAGCTAGAAATTGAAGCTATGCCTTTAACCTAATATATGTCTTATTGATTCTAGGACAGACGAGGTTTTATATATTCTTACTACAAAGCTATAGAAATTCTTCAAAAATAAAATTTCCCTGCTTTTTTGGAGAATGGTCTGTTATCTCAGCTATTTAGGATTCCAAATCTTTACACCTGTAGTTTTTACATAAGAAAATTCATTCAAATGGTTTAATATACCATTCCTCTGCTTAGACCATTTTTGAGTAAAATATAGGATATAGAGAAGTACAAATTAAACGAAAACCAGGACTTAAACCGAACAAACGAGTTAATGAAGATCAAAGAGTGATTTGATGAATATGAGAATCAGCATAAAGATAGCGGTGAGTAGCAGATTTCCACTAAATATTAATTTCAACAATATTTTTATTTAAATCCATTGGAAAAACTAACTCAACGCTAAAGCAGATCGAGAACAAGAAAGGCTAAATAAGATAAAAGAGGATACTCAGAGTCCTCACAGAATAAAAAGAGGTATGAGGTCTTTTAGAGATATGTCCTCACAAAGAAATATTTTCAAGATGAGATTTGTGCCATTTTAATCTTCATTTACCACAAAAATTTGTCAATAACAAAAAATATTTAAAAATTTTAGAAGAAAGAAAATCTTGGAACCTAGGAAATGAGAAGATTAAGGGTGATATTAAGAGAGCGAGAATAAGCAAAGAAGACCCTGAAGGGTATATTAAATAAAGCATTTGGACCAAACTTTGAGTTTTCTGAAGAATACCTGACAAGCAATATTAAGTCAGAAACTATTATTAAAGCTATAAAGAAGAGATATGGGTTCAAATAAGGTTACCAAATCTACAATGAAGCACATTCTGTATGAAGGAGCTAGGCTCAACAGAGTCTTAAGAATCAATGACTCCTGATTTGACAGAATGGTAGATATTCTTAACATCAAGTTTGAAGCTGAAGAGGAAGACAAGTTCTTTGCTCAAAAGTATATGACAGCTAATATTTTAGTCGAAATAGCTTCTCTGACAATGCTGGAAAAGGGCAGCAAAGAAAAATAAACTCTCAGAAATAATGTTTTTATGAAGAATTCAATGCAGGAGCAAGGTAGTCCAGGGAAAAGCAAGTTCAACGAATCCTATAGTACAGTAGAATCTATTCTGTTTGACAAGTATGATTATTTATTTATTCTTAGCTACACAAATGACTTTGAAAATGCCGTGGATATTCTCCAAAGCATCATTAACCTTGAAAATGAGCACCTTGATAAATTTAAACCAATTTTGAATCCAAGCCTCCAAAAAGGGAGATCAAAAGTAGCGCCAGTAGACCATGACGATGAAATTTTGTTAAAACATCAGCAATTAATGAAGAATTATGAAGAGACAATACATAAACTGTTGTCTATAAGATTTAAGTTCTCTCAGAAGCTTAAGAAAGATGCTTTGCCATCTATTACAACCCAACCTGAGGAGATGTATACTAAAGGGGTTCAATATGATAATTTTAGAGTAGAAGAGTTTGATCAAACCAAGAAATGAATTGATCTCCGTAGAAACTATGTTTCCAAATTATGAACTATCTTCACAGTTTCTGTCGTACTTGGTGTAATGATGGGAACCATAATCTACTTTACTGATTACTACGAGCTCATAGGATGGTGGATCATCTGAAGTAAAGGATCATCAGTAGCTATTCTCTTTATTCTTGGTATATGCATGTTTTTCATCTCTCATGATTTAATGACTTGTGCTAGGAGAAGATGTAAAAATTTAATATCCGGATGGTTAGATCACTACTTCATGATTCATAAATTTTGAGGATTTTTACTGACTGTTTATAGCATAGTCCATTCATTTTGACATTTAGCAGGATCATTAAGGATACTTTCTGGTAAAGATAATGTTGATGAAATAAATAAGAAGAAAGGAGGAAGAGATTTTGATGAAGTTCCCACATACATTGAGTTAGTAACCACCACATTGCCAGGAATAACAGGAGTGTTTTTATTATTGATAATCTGCATAATGGCTATAACATCGACAAAATGGGTAAGAATGAACTATTTTCAACTTTTTGGATATACCCATATGGCTCTTTTCCCTCTATTTTGATTACTCTTATTGATTCATGGATGAGATTTTTGGTTTAATTTTGGAGTACCCTACGCAATTATACTTGTAACCCCAGGCTTTGTTACATTAATAATTCAACAAATAATGAGAGTAATGTCGAACAAGATAAATCATTTTGAAATTATTGATGTTTCCCTATCAAGCGACTCAACTTACATGTTGGTGTATTTGCAAAAGCCCAAAGATTACAAATTAATCCATGGGCAATATGTATTTGTCAACTGACCTGTCATAAATGCTTTGCAATGGCACCCTTACACAGTAGCCTCCTCTCCAAATAACCCTTATCTGATTCTCATGGTAAAGGGAGCTGGAGACTGGAGCTTAAAGTTAATCAGACATCTATACGAATGCAAACAAAAGATGATGAAAATGGACACGATTGATTTCAAAGAGCACTCTATTTATGATATCTTTAATCTCCTTCATGACTTCCACCAGGAGCTACCTCTCAAATTATTTGGAGAGAGGAATAAATTGTTCTATCCCAAGATAAAGATTAGCAAAGCTTGTTCGACTCCTAATGATACTTTCATTGACAAAAAGAATATTATCCTAGTTGGAGCTGGTAGTGGGATCAGTCCATACCTCTGTTTACTAGAAGAGGTTATCAGAGATGAAAAAGGCAAAAAGAGCAAATATAATTTTGACTCCGCCAGACTGATCTTTGTGGCAAGAGAAGGAGAACAAATATCATGGATTTCAAACTATCTGTTCCATATTCTGAACTCCGCTTGCTTCTCATCTAAACTCGAGTTCAATATTTTTGTGACTTTGGATAAAAATCTGAAAACTCTTCCTTGCTTCTTGTTTTGGAGGGCTTTCTTACTCATCAGTTTATCCAAACATATCTGAGGGTTTAAGAAGAAAAATACATTTTCCTTCAAATATGATAAAGACAACATGTTCATAGATAAATCTGAGTTCAAGAATAGTCCTGTTAAGGTCTTATTTGGGCGACCAAAATTTGAATCACTATTTTATTCCACTATCGAGAAAGTTAAAGACAAGTAAGTTCTCTGTTCTTCTAAGCAAATAGGCCAGTTGAGAATGTATATGTGTATTCCACCTCTAGTGCAGAGCTAAATCAGGTGATTTTCAACACAACTTGAAAACTGACTAAGGAAACAGGAATTAAATTTCACCATGTTTATGAGGCAACATCTTAAGATAAATTTTCTCAGATTTCAATTTTTCAAGTCAGGCTCGGGGTTTTGGGGTTTTGGGGTTTTGGGGTTTTGGGG